AAGCAGTGCCGCCTGAAGTGTTGTTCCTTTGTGTGTTTTGTGTTTATTCTTAAATATATTGTTAATTTTCTGTTAAAACATATCCGTGCTTCCTCCTTCACCCTCCTATCCTACATTTCTGTAGTTTGAAATAAGATGCCTTATTTTTATTCATTCCGTAAATATAATGTTAAAATCAATTTAGTTTAAATTAAGTAAAAATCTAATCTACATACAGTCATTATGCATCAAGTTTGAACAAATTTGAATTACAGTTCAACGTTAGTGAGTGACGACGATTTGAAGTTTAAAATAAATAAAGTAACGATTAAAAGTTTTAAGCGGATTATAAACAAAGGAGATTTCTCTTTTTTGTTTAATATGGATAACAAAGGTTGTGAAGTAAATATGGGCTAGCTGAAATATGTAGTCCTTGTTCAGCTTATTTTAATTCCGTTCTATAAAGCAAATATATTTTACATATAGATTGAAGCGTTACATTTTAAAAACATTTAACAGGTTCGGAAATACATTTTGAAATAAAAATGGTTATTCACATTTCCACAATGTCCATTACAAATTTGTTTATTTCGTTTTATTACTAAATTTAATTCTTGATTTGCAAAATATTTTTTATAACGTTATAACATTGTTTTATCGAATTTAGCTATTATTACGACAGTATCATTATTTAGCAAAGACTGAGTAAATACGCGACCCTGAGGACTCATACATCACTGTCGACACGTCGTCCATCCAATATGGTTATCTCGAAATCCCTAAACAATTTAGTTTCTCCTAGTTCATCCCTCCCGGGCATCCACAGTTACAAGATGTGTGTCACATTACTGACCACAACATTATAGTACCAAATAGGAAACTTGATTCAGTGGAAAAACGTTTTCAATGTACCTAATTTAGATCATTTATTTTGTTACAGAAGATGTTTCTTCCTCATACAAAAATTTATAATTATTACAGTTATTTATTAAATAATATGGGAACACTCCCTAAAAACAAAAAATGGAGATTATTAATTTAAAGAATGAGCATAATTCTACTATAGTCCAATATTTTCGACAATACCGAAATCTCAAAATCTAAAATTTATATATTCCAAAGTTTCAAAGTGCTGTAGTTAAAAAACTCTAAAATTCCACGTTTCAAAATCTCGAAATTCCAAAATATCCAATTTCATAGATTCCAAAGTCCCAAACCCCGAAAATTCAAAAATTCTAAATGTTAAAAACCCTGAATTCCTGAAATTCCCAAATTCATAGACTCCAAAGTTGCAAAAGCCGGAAAATAAAAAATTCCAAAATTCTAAATATTCAAAACCATGAAATCCTGAAATTCAAAAATTTGCAAATTCATAGATTGCAAAGTTCGATTGTACAAAAATTCTGAAACTCTAAAGGACCCCGCACAGATCTTATGGAAAACAGCCCCCGGTTAAATTAGCTGAATTTTTTATATGATGTAGTTCATGATGTCTTGATCAAAAGTTCCAATGGGCTCAAGCTCGTAAATTGAACAGTTTCCGAGATACGGGGGATCAAAAGTCAATAATAGTGTCTTATTCGAGACTACCATTGGAACTTTTGATCAAGACATCATGAACTACATCATATAAAAAATTCAGCTAATTTAACCGGGGGCTGTTTTCCATAAGATCTGTGCGGGGTCCTTT